TCCCAAACCCTGACTAATCAGTCACAGTTTGCTTCTGCAGTTGTGAGGACAGGCAAAATGTCCTCGTATTCTATAAATTGTCCCCACTCTGTAGGAAAAAAAACATTTTCTTGTCCTTACTGCTTAGCAAGTGCAAGAACACACACACGCGCGCGCGCACACACACACACACACACACACACACACTCTCTCTCTCTCACTAACATATGAGTGGCTGTTTGATAGTGTGTGAGAGAGATAGTGTGTTTGCATGTACAACGTAATTGCAGAAGTGCATAAACAGATGCACAAATACAAGCAAAAAAATTTGACACAAAAAATCACACAACTCTTCATCAGAGGAAAAGTAAAAATGTTTTTTATGGTGGAACTTGAAATAAGTTTTGCTGAAGGCTCATGGGTTAAAATGCTAATTGTTATTGTCAATTAAGATATTAATGGTGAATAAGATCATGCGTGGTTTTGCATTTTTGGATCTATATGGATCAAATGTTTTTATGTCATGTTTGTGTTCTTCAGGGAGACTGATAAAAAAGTGTGATTTTGTTGTTTGTTTTATTTGACTAAACATAATTGCAACCACTTTTCCAGGAAGTGCCTCCAGCATGTATTTTTATTTATTTATTTATTTATTTATTTATGTTCAGAATTAGCGGTGGGATTAAAATAGGAGAAAGTAATATACAGAGAAAACATTGCAATGGTAATGGGTTCCAGAAACTTACCCCTCCAAAATTGCTACCAGATAACTGCAGAAAAAACAGGGAATTCTGTCGACCTCCAACAGTGTGATTGCATTCTGAACCTCCCAGAGAGCGACTGAATGAGTCACATGACCAGCTGAGATTTCTGGGGCCACGAAAGACAATAACCTGCCAAAAGCCTTGTGTGAATGCTTTTCATGTCTCCTCCTGTTTAGCAACTAGCATGTCTATTAGAGGTATGCCTCCTTTGACTGGTTTATGTCTCGCGTGTTTGCCACTCCCGGCTGTGTCTCGTAACATAGTTATTCCTAATGATCATGTGACGGGTATTTAAGCCCTCTGCTGTGTGTTGCGAGTAGCTGTATTTTAATTTGCTTTTTGCGCTTAGAACCAGTCAGCATTCCTAGTAAAAACTCTTTGTCTTTATTGAGTGTAACGTAACCGTTAATGACAGCAATATCTGGAAGCTTACCTCTTTACCCACTTCACTCAAACAAGCTTCCAAGCCGACTCAGGGTCCAGGATTGGGACCGCGTTCATATTAACCCAGCTCAAATCAGTTCCCCCGTTCAGTTTAATAGGAACAAGCTTCCAAGACGACTCAGGGTCCAGGATTGGGACCGCGTTCATATTAACCCAGCTCAAATCAGTTCCCCTGTTCAGTTTAATAGGAACAAGCTTCTAAGTCGACTCAGGGTCCAGAATATGGATCGAGGTCAAGTTAACCCAGCTTAAGTCTGTGCCTCTGTCCACTTTAATAGGAACAAGCTTCTAAGCTGACTCAGGGTCCAGAATATGGGCCGAGGTCAAGTTATCCAGCTTAAGTCTGTGCCTCTGTCCACTTTAATAGGAACAAGCTCCTAAGCCGACTCAGGGTCCAGAGTATGGATCGAGGTCAAGTTAACCCAGCTTAAGTCTGTGCCTCTGTCCACTTTAATAGGAACAAGCTTCTAAGCTGACTCAGGGTCCAGAATATGGGCCGAGGTCAAGTTAACCAGCTTAAGTCTGTGCCTCTGTCCACTTTAATAGGAACAAGCTCCTAAGCCGACTCAGGGTCCAGAATATGGATCGAGGTCAAGTTAACCCAGCTTAAGTCTGTGCCTCTGTCCACTTTAATAGGAACAAACTTCTAAGCCGACTCAGGGTCCAGAATATGGATCGAGGTAAAGTTAACCCAGCTTAAGTCTGTGCCTCTGTCCACTTTATTAGGAACAAGCTCCTAAGCCGACTCAGGGTCCAGAATATGGATCGAGGTCAAGTTAACCCAGCTTAAGTCTGTGCCTCTGTCCACTTTAATAGGAACAAGCTCCTAAGCCGACTCAGGGTCCAGAATATGGATCGAGGTCAAGTTAACCCAGCTTAAGTCTGTGCCTCTGTCCACTTTAATAGGAACAAGCTCCTAAGCCGACTCAGGGTCCAGAATATGGATCGAGGTCAAGTTAACCCAGCTTAAGTCTGTGCCTCTGTCCACTTTAATAGGAACAAACTTCTAAGCCGACTCAGGGTCCAGAATATGGGCCGAGGTCAAGTTAAACCAGCTTAAATTTGTTCCTCTGTCCTCAGAGCTCAGCCTCAGAGGTCTTTACCAGTCAAAGCCAGTCCACCGCTGGCACCATAACAGCTTCTCTTTTATCCACATGATAAGAGAAAGATAATGTATCTCGATGTGGTGAGCTATCAGATGTTTAAACGCTATTCATTAAACTCTCTCATTAACGCTTCAGTACTTTCAACCTGTTCCCAGTTACATTCTTGCCATTAGAAGTCAGAGATTTTTTTTTAATATGCCCTATGCAGAGATAAACCGGAGGGAAATTAGACTAAAAGAAGGAAAAAGAACTCTGACTGACCAAAGACCCTTCCTGTCTCACTGTTTATACATATTGTCATTGGTTCCAATTATTTCAGTCAGAATTTGGTTATAATCATAATGGAAGTGAGGCTCCGGGATTATGTTTCATTTGGACCCAAATGCTGCCCCTCAGGCTCAGCAATCTCAATCATAATGCCCAGTGGAAGGAGCATGGAAAGTGTGCAGCTGATTGGCTGTCATCCTGCTGTGACGTGCTCATTTGCAGTTAAGGTGATGCCTCAGTGCTACTGCCCTGGCTCCTCCTCGCGTGCAGAGCCGATCCTGGAATGATTCCGTAATGAACGCGCTTGTGTTCCTTCACTGACTCGTGCTCAGAGCCGATCCTGGAATGAGTCCGTAATGAACGCGCTTGTGTTCCTTCACTGACTCGTGCGCAGAGCTGATCCTGGAATGAGTCCGTAACGAACGCGCTTGTGTTCCTTCACTGACTCGTGCGCAGAGCCGATCCTGGAATGAGTCCGTAATGAACAGGCTTGTGTTCCTGCACTGACTCGTGCGCAGAGCCGATCCTGGAATGAGTCCGTAATGAACGCGCTTGTGTTCCTTCACTCAACTCAAGCTTCTCATTTTCAGCAAAAACATTATCATAATTGTGATTTATTTATTTAGTTATTTCTTGCCAAGGCTCTTTCACTGAGCCTTTTCAAATTAATTAACATGAGTAAGCAAAAACATACTGAGTATCATTTTGCCATGGTCACAGATGGATAATTCTGAGCATCATATTCAGCTATGAATTATTTTCTAGGGCTGAAGGTGCATCTTCAACAACTGAAATGTTGGATTTACAGAAAATGTAATGTCTGTGGTTTCTGTGCATCTGTGTCCAGTAACTCATAAGTACCAGTAGAGATAACGTAACATAACGTAACATAACATGAGTGGCGAGAACAGGCCGTTCAGCCCAACTAGGCTCGCCTGTTTCTTATTACTACAGTGAATCTATCACTTCAAATACTCAATGGCTCAATGCTATCTAGTGCTAAATCAAGCCTGTTCTTGAAAGTTCCCAAGGTTTCTGCCTCAACAATATGGTCAGGCAAGCTATTCCATACTGATATTAAAGACCTCAATCAGATCACCCCTGAGTCTCCTTTTCCCACGACTAAAGAGATCAAGGATCTTCAGCCTCTTCTCATAGCTTTCATCTTTTATACCTGGAATTAGCTTAATGGCTCTTCTCTGAATGTTTTCTAGAGCCTATATATCTTTCTTAAAACATGGTCCCCAGAACTGTCCACAATACTCTAGATGTGGTCTGACGAATGTGTTGTACAGGAGAAGTATAACCTCCTTGGATTTACACTCAATACTTTTGGCTATATATCCGAGCATCCTGTTGGCCATTTTAACTGCTATAGCACAATGTCTAGAACCTGTGAGGGTTTAGTCAACAATCACTCCCAGATCTTTTTCATGTGGAGCACATTCCAGTTTTAAACCTCCCATGAAGTAATCCTGTCTAATGTTTTTATTACGTACATGTACAACTTTACATTTTGTGATGTTAAATTTCATTTGCCACATTTCTACCCAATTCTGGATTCTATCTAAATCATCCTGAATCACTTTAGTGGGCTCTAAACTGTTCCCCAAACCTCCCAATTTAGTATCATCTGCAAATTTAATTAATTTGCTCTCAATATTCCTATCAAGGTCATTAATGTAGATGAGGAACAGCAGGGGTCCCAACACAGTTCCCTGAGGGACGCCACTCCCCACCATACCTAGCTGATATGAGATTCCACTGATCACCACTCTTTGTGTTATGTCCTGTAACCAATTTTGAATCCATTCCAGAATATCTCCTGTAACTCCAATGGAGCTCATTTTAAAAATGAGTCTCTTATGCGGTAATGTATCAAGTGCTTTCTGAAAATCCAAGTATATGATGTCATAAGCCCTGCTCTGGTCATAAGTCTTGGTGGCCTCTTCAAAGAATTCCGGGAGGTTTGTCAGGCATGACCTTCCTTAACAGAAACCATGTTGGCTATCCCTCAAGATATTATTACATTCAAGAAATAATTCCAGCTCGTCTTTTATGATAGATTCCAGTATTTTGCATGCAATGCAAGTTAAACTGACTGGCCTGTAATTTCCTGGCTCAGTACAGTCCCCTTTCTTATATATTCATATTATATTGCCCTGCCTCCAATCATTGGGTATTTCTCCAGTTTCTAAAGACCATCTGAAGATAGCTGAGAGTGCTTTAAAGATGATCTCACTAAGTTCCCTGAGCACTCTAGGATATAAGCCATCAGGACTCGCCGCTGACATCGGGAGCGGCAGGACCCCAAAGCAACACAATCAGAGCGAGTGAAGGTTTACAGACTTTAAATGACTTCAAGGTAGGGGCAAACAAAATGTAGTGCAGAGCAGGATCTGGAGCTTGTGGATCTTGAGTGGAGCTCTGAGGGAGCAGGCGCCAATGGCAGGATTCGAACCCGGGTCAGCCACGCTGCAGGCAGGAGAGTTACCACTGGGCCACAGGGGCTTGCAAGACAGCAGACCGGAACCAGGAAGCGCACAGGTAGAACTCAGAGTCAGAGGCAGAAGGCAATCAGGTTTACCGGGGCAGGAACAAGAAGACATCGTCAGAGGCAGGCGGAGTCGATTCCAGGAAGTCAGACCGAAGATAAACGCTGGAGAGTAGTGCATGCTGCATCGACAATCTGGCAAAGAGTGAGTGAAACATAGCTGCTTAAATACTGGCTGGGTAACGAGACTCAGCTGAGAGCAACTGCAGTGGAAGGGGTGTGGCCAGCAGTGGAAGGGGTGTGGCCAGGCAGAGGCAGCAGCAGCAGCAGGGCAGACTGTGACAGCGGCCTTATCTGCCTTTAGTTTATGCAACTTGTCTAATACTTCATTATCCCTCACCTAAATTTCTGCTAATGCTGGGTGCACACTACAGGAGTTTCCAAATCTTTTAAGATTTTAAAATCGCGGGGGGCTGCACACATAAAGATAATCCTTGCCGATTTTATTCAACGAGCTGTGTACGAATTTAGTCAAGAAGAGGGACTCTGTGCACTACAGCTCCCAATATCCTTATCTTCCAAGATTTCACAAAAGCTCGTATGATCAAACGTGACCTCGATGTAATTTCCCCTTTCCTGGGCACGAGATTTGACTGTTGAGGGGAGAAGAACCAGAACCTAACCTAACCTTAACCTAACGAAGCTAAATATAGTATGCATGTAGATTCACTGAAACTATCCTGGCTGACATAAAAATGTGACTGTAGCTTAAAAGTGGCGAGTGTGTGTAGGTAGGTAGCTAGTAACTGTTAGCAAACGTAACAATGTAACCGTTAACGGTTGCTCGCCTGCTCTCACTTAAGTGTTAACGTTAATTCACCTGTTACACCGACAGCTCTGGCCATCTCGCCCAGAGCGCTCTCTTTCATGACGCGGTTCGTGTAGTCTTGCGAGGAAATATTATACAGGCACTCGTTTTCCTCCCACATCGCCACCAGGCGCTCCTCCGTCTCTCCTGTCCAACGTACCATCTTTGTTACTTTTGGTTTCCGCTCGATGATGTAACGCCCTGTAGGATCATCCCCGAACTCCCGATAATATCCAACATGTTGTTGGATATTATCGCGGAGGTCCCGATCAGTTCACGAGGGGCAGAATTTGGATCTGTAAGCTCCGCACACTAACGGATAACTGGGCCAAACATCACGGCCGAATTCAGATTGTTCCCCGATTCTCGGGAAGGCCAGTTCGGGGCAAAATCTGACCCGAATTTCCTGTAGTGTGCACCCAGCTTAAATAGAACCATTTACAGTTTGCAAACAACGATGACGTAGACAGGTTGCACGCGCAGCTTGGCAATGGAAGTATGGCGGACCACAACAGCTTGTCAAGCTATGCGAGGGCATTAGCCATCAAAGATCGCGAATGCTACCAAAACAAATTCACTTTCACAAATTGTAACCAACTTCCAGATCTGTTTGGTGTCAGTGAGTGGGTCGATGATGTTTGTTAGTGGCCCAATATTCCATAGCCTGATATATATACCTATTTGATCGAGAAACCTAGCGTGTACACTAGGGAGAAACTACAAGCATACAAGTCACTGGATGCTTATGTCTACATTATCTGCGGACATAAGCAGAATGTTAAATACCACGACATAGACTTGGAGTTTTATGTCTCGAAATCAGAGGTCCTTCCGAGTCAAAGACGAGGGCATAAAACCGCCGTGTATGACGCGTGGGTTATAATCAAAAAACCAGAAAGCTATGCCCTGACAGCTAATTGTACCTGCATGGCAGGGTAAGTATTATTTTGTATTGTTAGCTTGCTAGCTAGCGAGTTTGACTACGTAGTTATCATGCGAACATGAAACCTGCTTCGGTTTACCATTATTCTCACATATTTCATTTAATGTCTTTAACTGTGAGACAAGCTAATGCTAATTATCAAACTTTAGCTGCATTAAATTAGTGGTCTACATTTTACAAACAATTGTTCAAATAAACGAGCCTTTCCAGTGAAATCAGTGAGTAAATAGATAACATACCTGATATAAAATGGGCACTGCAAACACAAGCATTTTTGATTGTGTCCTCAGTCCAGTCAACGTGTTTGATAACTTGCAACCATAGACGCCGCCGATTGCCCTGATACGGATGTGATCCTCTCGGAATCCTGTAAAACTTGAGTCCACCAATGGAATATCGATTCTGACAGCTGTACACGCAACAACCAGACATTTCGGTGCTGGTAAAATATCAAATTCAATGTTTGCAGATTCATAACTCATCTGACTGACTTGGGGAGACCGCTACTTCCGTTGCCAAGATGCGCACGCATCTTTTTGACGACGTTGGCTGTAAATGGGTCTATAATCTTGAGCATTGGACATGCCCTCTGGCCCAATAAAAATCCTCTCTGAGATAAAATTCTCAACAAAGTAACAATTCAAGGTATCTGCAATATCCTTATTCTCACACAGCAGCGATCCATATTTATTCTTGATGCACTGAACCTCCTCTTTGACTTTCCTTTTTCTGCTACAGTACTGAAAGAAGCGCTTGGGGTTAGTTTTTGCCCCCTCTGCAATTTGCCTTTCATACAGTCTTCTAGCATTCCTCAGCTCTTTTTTGACCACAGCCCGCATTTTACAGTATTCAGCCTTAGTGTTCTCATTGTTATCCTTTATGTACATCTTATAAAGATTCCTCTTTTCCCTCAAACTCCTACGAATAGCTGTGGTCATCCACTGCGGATTCTGCTTTTTCAGCTTACTTTTGGACACCTTTGGAATGAATTTGCATTGTGAATCAAGTAAAACCCCCTTAAATCTTTCCCACATCTCATTTACAGACTCACAGTCCAGGAGTGTCTCCCATTTTATTTCACTTAAATATGAGCGCATCCTGTCAAAGTTTGCTCGTCATAAATTGAAAATTTTGGTTTTCGAAGATAACTTTTTAACTTGCCGTGAAACATCAAAATTAATAGTAGAGTGATCACTTGTCCCAAGTGGCTCCAGTACCTCAACATTGCTAATTCTATCTGGGTCATTACAGAGCACTAAGTCTAAAATTTCCTCTCTCTCGTAGGTTTATTAACATACCGCACCAAAAAATTGTCATTTATAACATCTAGAAATTCTTCCTCCCCTTTACCCTGTCCTTTCACCATTTCCCAATCGATACCAGGATAACTGAAGTCTCACATAATAATAGTCCCTCTGCCTCTACAAGCTTGCCTAATCCTCTTAAAGAGCATTTCATTGACAGTACTGTTCAAAGCTGGTGGTCGATAGCATACTCCGATGTTTAAACCTGTCTCGTATTTGCCAATGAGCCTGACCTAGGTATCTTCACAGGGTAAGGAATGTTCAATTTCACGAATTTCCTGCACATTTATGCTTTTGTTCACATAGACTGCTACGCCCCCTCCTCGCCTATTACATCTATCCTTCCTAAAGAGCTTATAACCCTCTACATTAAATTCATCTCCATCCTCTTCACTGAGCCATGTCTCTGTAATCCCAACTATGTCATAGCCCTCACTAATCATAACAGCCTCAAGTTCTGGAAATTTATTTTTTATGCTTCTTGCATTTAAATAAAAACATTTCAGGGTATTACTACTGCACTTATCCTTTGATTTCCCATGTGCCCGCTGCTCCAAGCCCCCCACTACGCTTTGTTGCTTTAAAAATATATCATCAATAGTGCATGTAACGCTGTCAGCTTCCATCAGGGCAGTCTGCATTTCCCTATGTGTGACACTCACTAACCTCCCTGCCCCCCACGTCCCTAGTTTAAATAAGGATGCTAAAGGCCAGTTCATCAATCAAGGGACAAGTTACTGAACATAGATGGGAACCTGTTGACATTACAATGTAAATCAGTAATTTTAGTTTTCGGGGTACGTGTACAGAGCAGTGTCCTTCCACAGATGTAGCGCAATACTCCCATTTTCTCCCCTGAGTCGGAAATGCACCTGTCTCCTCCCAGGTAGGGTAGGTGTCTTTGAAAATACGTAATCATTGCTCTGCTAGTTAAATTATGTTCTGTTTGTGGTTTAAGCCTTATGTTTGTAGTTTACTTGAGCTTGTGGATCTGATCTCTGCTGACTGTGTGGCTGACTGAGTTTAGCTTTAGCGCCAGACCGACTGTGCAGCGCCTGCGTTACTGAATCTCCTTCCTGCATTGTGACAGTCTCCTACCACAGGAGGTCAAACATTCAAGGCTTCATGTTGCTACGTTATTAAGAGCTAATTAGCAGTGTGTTGATATTTATTAAAGAAGACCGGCTCCCATCACAGGGGTTTATTTGATTATTGACATCTTTAATACTGCAGTCATACTGAAGCTGGGATGGGGGTTGCTACATGACCACAGTTCTTGTTCTAACAGGAACGGGCTGTGGTGCGTAAGTTATTTCTGAGAGCACTGGAGTCAGTAACTAGACTGGCAAGATACATTTTGCAGAAAAACAAATTATATTACTGACAGATCATTAATGTTTGTTTATAAAGGGATCTGTGCATTTAGTAATTGAATGCTCTGATTGTATGTTACTTTCACTAGAGCATGCTCCGAATAATGGTCGTGTGGTAAAAATCTGAATGCAGAGAATTAATACATGTGGTGGCAGCTTTATACGCATGAAAAAGCACTCTTACTGAATTTAGCTATTAATAAACCAGTGAGTTACTTTTATGTAAAATCAGATAATAAATTAAATAGTTAATAGAATTTAATACAACACAGGCCACACAAAACAAGGTATCACTGAATTTGTCAAAACAAATTATTGATATTTTTTAGTAATTCAAATTTTAGTATAAATTCATGTTTAAATACATAATAATCACAAAGAGTAACCTCCTTTTGTAGTAAACCCATAGCTCATGGGAGATTAATATTTATGATTAACCTATTGTAGTTATGTAAATTGTGAATTCGTGCGAAATTGCATATGGGTCATTGTATTAACTCGTGATTGAAGCACATTTACGCATTACAGA